GTCATCAAAACCAGTGCCAGGTTGCACGGACGCCATGGATTTCGGACAAAAAGGACACTTCAACGACTAGCCGTGGAGATTGTCTCATGCTCTGCATCTACAACGCCAGGACAATCTCCACCAAAGTCGATCTTCACGCCCTTCTCAAAGCTGCAAGGCGCATCAACTACCAGGTAATCGCCTTGCAGAAAGTCCAGAAAGACGGACGTGAGGGCAGCTGAGTGATGGCAGACTCATCATTCGTGGTGATAAAGTTCCATCACGGAACTTTGGATCCGTTAAATTTGTTGTATACCCATCTGTTGTCCATTTTGTCGATTCGCATGAGATCCTAGCTATCCTTCGATTCCATCCTCTGCATCAAAAAACCATCACTATCATCAACTGCTACTCTCCAAAATCAGCAGCTCATGACTCTCACCTGGATGCTTTTTAAGAAAATATGAAGGAAGTCATCCGCAAAGAGAGGTCTGTTACAAACTTATCGTGAGCAACTTCAAAGCGAAAATTGGGATACCAGAAGAAGGGGAGCATAGTATCGGGAGATCTGGATCAGGACTCTGGCATGAGAATGGTAGCCGTGTTGTTGAGTCTTGTCGTCTATCACCCACTGCATGATTTTCTCATGGCAACCGATTTTCATGAAGAAAGAGCACCTCTGGACATGGGAGTCACCCAACGGTACGACTCATGCGGAGTCGACCACATTCTCACCAACCAAAGGTGGTGCTCACTGGTCTTCTCAGTAGTACCATCCTTCAGCAGCGGTTACCTTATCATCGCCTCCTTTGCGATTCAGCCGAAAGCTGGAAAAGACGATATGTCACCGTGTTGGAGGAAGCAGAGAAATTTTATGACAAAGATTGGAGGAGCTCCTCACCACTTGTGATTGGCCCACCGAGGAAGACCCAACGAAGGACTACGATCTGCTCTTAAAACTGAGAGCCTGTGGTGAAACTGCCTCAATGCCTCGAACGGAACTTGGAGCCAATTCCGAAAGCCAGCAAAGATCTGCTGAAGAGGAGGTGGGCGATGACATTGGATCCGACTGCATCACATCTCGAGCGACTGGTAGGCGATATCAACTGCAGAACAGCTTTGCAAGAAGATTTTCGAAAGTACAAACAATCGAGATTATTGGACGCAGCACAAGGAAACAGAAGTCTTAAGATTACCTGGTCTTCTCGACTACTGTGTTCCGACGACAACATTGAAACAAAGAGGATTACACATTTTCCCGAAAAGATGGAATAGATCACGAAAAGATTCTACACCGATCTCTTTCGCTCATCAAAACCCGTGTCAAATCCCGTTATCCCCGATGAATACACTGCCACGTATTCTACCTGAGTACGCGATCTAGATAATGAAGGCACGGCTCCGGGACCAGACCATATTTCCGCCGACCTCTTACAAGCTGGAAGACATCTCCGACATATAGATTGCCGAGATACTTCGGCACACCTAACGTTCTCTTCAAAGGAAAGAACCGACCAGTAGAAAACCTCCCGAACAATCCTCCTTCGTAAGAAGAGCGATAGGAAGGATCTTCTGACCGTGCAATATGCTCGCTGAGCGTGCTTTACAAGATTTTCACGAAGATTCACGGTCAATCGCATATCAAGGACAATGAATAGCCCAACCTGTAAAACAAGCTGGATTTCGCAAGGATTTCAGCTGCGTGGGTCATATCCAAACGGTTTCTAGGTATCGAGGTTTGCCGAAAATACCATCTACTCGTAATAACCTTGACTCGACTACGAAGAAGCGTTTGACAGCGTTGAGATGCTTTTACCGCCGCCGTGCAGTGGGTGATGATACTACTGAATTGCAACGAGAGAGATATACGTTGATAAGTATTGCTCTCGAACCTTCGTTTTGCAAACGATA